CCCCAAAACCCCAAAACCCCAAAACCCCTTTTTGAGTACTAAGATTTAAATATTAAATTTCCATATTGTCTACAAAGTCATCATAAAATTCAGCCTTATGGCTACTTGTAGAGCGATATCAAATCGGATGTGAACACTTCAATTCTGTCTAGAGCTTCAGTAATTTCAGATTTGGAGTTTGCGAGGTTGGTGATTTTGTAGTGGTAGGTTCCTTCTCTTTGTCCGAATCCTGATCCAGGAACTATCATGATTCCTGTCTTGTCGAGAATTTCCAGTCAATATCTATTTTACTTAAGACTGAATGTTACTTGCTATCTGGAGATAATCCTTCTTGATGTTCTATGTCACAGTAAGATTGAGGCAACTTGATTCGAGGAAAAGCATACATTACTCCTTCGATCTCGTTACATGTGATCCCTTGAATACTGTTTAACTTTTCTGTAATCAGATTTGATCTGTAATTTAGGCCATTATGAATATATTATTCTTGTGTTTGATAGAGATCAAAGACTTCTTTTGAAACGGTATTTTTTGTAGGAGGATTGATCTATACTCTAAAATTCAAAGCTTACCATTAATCCAACTCTGATATGCTCAGTTATATTTCCTAATGATGTTACTGCTTTAAATTTATACATCTCTAAGTTGACAATACTATCAATATTGTGAAGTTCCAAGAAACCTCCTCTGAAGCCACACTCTCCATGAAGCCCCTTCGATAGTGAATGAAATGAAGCAAGTTCAACATCATTTTCATATGGACTACCAAGCTCTTTAAGAGCTTTTCTAGCTGAACAAAATTCCTTATCAACATAGATACTTCTTTGGTAGACTTCATCAGCCAACACAAAATTTACTTGCCATGAGTAAACTGAATCACTTTGTTTAAGTCTTCTTGTGCGAGAATTTGCTCTGTAGGATTACTTAGGTTAATGACCACCATTGATCTTACGTTGATTCCTTTATCAGTGACTTCAGCATAAGATCTCTCGAGCTCTTCGAAAGACATCCCCCATCCTTTACTTTCATCAAGATAATAAGGAACTTGGGTTTCATCAAACTTGGTAATAAGTGCTGAATATATGGGATATTGTAGAATGGGGATCATTATGTTATTATTCTCATCTTTAATGAAGAGGTTTAACATGAATGTGATTCCTTCAGTTGCTCCATTAGTAAGAAAGATATTATTCTCGCCTACGTTAACTCCATCCCGCTTTTCGATAAAGGATTTGACTTCTCTCATAATTTATCGACCCCTTGGATGTCTGTATATGCTCCAATTGCTCGATGACTGAAATGGCTTTAATAGTATTCAGCTCTATCTATTGCACCAGATGAGGAAATCATCCGGCTTCTTTCATTGCCACCAATTAAGCATGAAGCTAAAGCTTCTTTATTGAAATTGTCTGACTTTAGGCCAAGATCTTGAGGAATTCCAGCATTTAGGTGAGTAATCTTGTTAAATGAAAATTATACTCCTTGTTTTATCTGTTTTTAAATTGTTACTGCTTTATCAGCGACAGCTTCTAACACAAGATATTCTGTGTAGATGAGAGGGCAAGCAATGGTTGATTCACTAAGATTTTACTGTAAGTTTTATAACCAAAATAAGTTGCCATTTAAACTAAATAAGTATCAAAAGACTTTTATCCAGCCGGGGTTTTGGGGTTTTGGGGTTTTGGGGGTTTTGGGG